TTAATCCATATGCTGAGGGCCCGAAACCCTATAGACACTAAATCCTCAAACCTAAAACAAGGGCCCTACACCCCAAACATCCCGAAGCGCTGAGAGCACCGCCGAATTAGAGCTGGGATTCCTTATACTCTACTTTAAGGGTATGAGGATAATGATTGTCAAACTTTCTGAATTCTACTGTGTTTGGTGGAGCTCTGTTTTTTTGGGGGGTCGGGGATTGTACGATGGTGGATAGGTAGCAGTACTTGGTGTTGTTGGTTCCTAACCCCAAGTTTCTCAAACGCTTAACCCTAAACCCTAAACCTTAAAACACCCTAAACCCTAAAACCCTAAACCCCAAAACCCTATCCTTTGGGCCTTTCGCCTTGTGGTTTTGGAGTTAGTGTTAGGGTTTCGGGTTTAGGGTTTGGAGTTTTGAGGGTCAGGTTTTGGGCTGGGGGGACCGGTTTCCGGTGCAGCTTCTGGGGGGTGTTTAGGGTCTATAGTGCAGGTCTTTGAATTGAGGGACTCGCTTTGTCAGGATTTCAAGGCATGCGGGTAGAGGGGCATTGGGTGGAGGTTTAGGACTCCGGGGTCTCTAGGGCTGACTCTAGGGCTTTGGGGTTTAGGGTCTAGGGTTTACCCCCTTAATTATCATGGCCATCCTTATAGTAAACCTTGCTGTAGTGACCCTTTCGGAAACCCATATTACTTATTACTTTATTGTAGTACCCCTTGTAGTAATCTTATAGACTTTATGTCGTGGAGCTGTCTGAACCATCGGTTTAGGGAGTTTGGTTAACCCCACTCCTGAATCCAAATGCTTAAACAACCTTCAAGACCCAACCCCAGTCAGAAAACCTCGTAACCGCTAAATCCCTAGCTCGCGTCTTAACTATGAGCCCATACTATTATCCTTAAACCTCCAAACCCCTAGTCGTAAAATCCTCTGTAGCGCAAGCCGCACACATCCTCTGCGACACTCACCCGACAACACCCCACGATCCAGCCACATAGATTTGCACGAAAACCTCAAAGCCAAAATCTAAACCCCTAAACCCTACCTCACTGAATCCCTATACCCTCAACCCCAAAGCCGGTAACCCACTGAGCTCCGATCCTCGGGCGGCTGATTTCCTTCTGGCGCCGGCGGACTTTCTTCCGCTGGCTGGTTGCCCTCGAGCACTTCATTTCCCTCTTCTGGCTCCTTGCTGGGCTCCTTGGCGCTCAGAGGGTCCCCCAAACAGGCTCAGGATTTCCGGAAGCTTACCACACTTCCCGGTTCAGGAATACTGTAAGCTTAAATATGTGGGGTTTCCGAAAACAGGGGACCCTGATATAGTACCCTAAATAGTAGGATCCATATTATAAGGACCCCAACATGAGGTACCCCTATTTTCGGAAACTCCCATATGATAATCAACATTCTTATGACCCTACTGACTAAGCGTCAAGGGCCTTTGGAGGAGTTCAATCGCGGGCTGAAAACCCTAAAACCCCCAAAGCCCTACCCTAAGGGTCCAAGTAGTTCCTATTTATGGTTTTTGGTACCTAAAAAGGCCCTAAAGTTCTACAATAGGGAGTACTTGGACCCTCTGGGCTAAGCTATAAACCCTATAGCCCCAAACCTCTTCAGCGTGAACTTGGGTGCCCTGTACCTCTGCGATAGGCCATGGCTTTGGGTGCATATTATAAACGGTTCAGGGCTTATAGGAGAGTAGGGTTTGGGGGTTTAGGGTTAATAGAAGACGGAACACTAAAATAGTACTACTGCTCCTGTTGTTGGACTGGATCCAACACGACGCAGCACCGAATGTGAGTGACCTTCTTCGCTTGATTCTCGTCGTTCGCTGTAAGGGGCTTCACATTTTCTCTCCAACTCCTCAGGAACGAAATGGTCGTCGAACATGTCGAGAACCTCACGCTCTTGTTCAAGCCGTTCCTGCTCCTTCTGGTCTTTTTCAGACCCATGCATGTTCTGATACCTGAGACCTTCAACGTACCATGCTGAACGGCGTTGTGTGCATCCTCCACCGCCGCGACCAGGCATTCCTTCTTCCAACTGAAGCCTGGTTGGCATTGTTTAGCACCACGGAACTGGAATTTTTATTTTTAATCGAGGGCCTAAGCATTGAGATTGAAGGCTCTGACTCTCCATGATACCCCAAGCCTGAAGCCGAAGCACACACGAGTGGAGCTCTAAAGGCTCTCGAGTGGATCCACCGATAAAGCCCTCATATTTATTTGGTTGTGGGACTTCCTGTTACTTATTTGTTGGTCAGATGAACGATCAACTGTCGTCTTGTGGTGGTGCCGGAAACCTAGTCAGGGGCCAGGATCTACAAGGCTTTTGGTTTTCGGGTTTTTTGGTTTTACGGTCAGGGGGTTAGTTCCCCAAGGGTCCGAGTGCCCAATCATTGCCAATAGTCATACACTCTCCAAAATCGTAACTTACATAACCACTATCCTAGAACCGAGCACCTAATTATTGGGTCCTTTGGACCCTTGGGGGTTAGGAGCTGCTGGGCTGTGTACGGCAATACAGATGTGCTTTTGTTTCAGCCCCGTCCTCTGCTGATGAAAGTAACGGCCGTAGATACTTCAAGTTTCACTAGACCCAAGAGTACCTGGGGAAGAAAAAGGGTGCCCTTTTTGGTTTAAAGGGGCTTGTAAGGGAACCTGAACCCTACAAAAAGGGAATAAGGGCTTACTCTAGGTCCAAGTTTCATCAACTGGAGTTGCAGGATCCTTCATGGGAATCCATGTAAAACGCTTAGGTACAAAGGACCTGCAACGTCATGTGGAAGCTGTTCTAAGGGATCTCTGTCGCCTCTAGTAGCCAGCCGGGAAAGCTAAACAGCACGATGCTTCAATCCTGAGCCCCCAAGCCCAGAGCCGTAAAATCCCACAAACTCTGCAGCCCCCGAAGCACAAAACCCTAAAACTCAAACACACTTTCAAACAAGCACAGAAAAACCGAAACTGAGGTCGGAGCTTGGGCAGCAGACATCTCAGCGGGCCTGTCAAGCCCCGAAAACCCGAATCAAACCCAGTCCGAGAAGGGGCCGCAACAAACGCAGCGGGCTTACTCAAAGCATCAGGGCACTTCGCAGCAACTATGGTCATCATTAGGCTGGCTACACTTATCACCATGACCTGTAGGGCCTATGTAGGCCAAAAATCAAACGGAGGGCTCGTCGGGTTTCCGTGCTAAGGATGTTGCTAGGGAAATCTTCATCCACAATGAGAAATCCGGATCGCCAAAAGACATCTATCATGAGTTCGAGGTTTAGGGATTGGTGGAGCAGTCCTTGCTGCATGGTACCTGAAGAGTTCTAACTATGGTCCCCTCTCAAAGTCTTCGTTGTGGTATGTTTGTTCTGTACTGTACAGAGGCACTAGGAATCCTAGCTTAGCATCCCCCCCACATGACATCTGCACACAACCAACCAGGAGAACATGTGCACAGCCCAGGGTGTTGAGTACTCATGGCACCTCAGGCGCAAAGCCTTTTTCAAGTCTGAGCCCTGACATGTTATTGACACCAACTCCATGCAAACCCGGCTAAAGTCCAAGTGCTCTACACCCTGCTTCCTGAAGTCTTGTTCTCTAAAGCTCAAACCTGCATGAACCCTAAACCCTTCTGAATCCTAAAGCCCAACACCCTAAACCAGCTAGGCTCCAAACTCTACAGTCTGACATAGCCCTAGTACAGATGCCTTCATGCTTACCAATACTGTTTCTCATCAGGGTTTCGAATGCGAAATTCGATCAAAAACCTATTCTAACTGTTAAGAGCCCTATGTTAGAGCCCATAGGGTCCCCGTTAGAGAACCCTTTAAAGGAAGCCTTCCAACAACCCTGGAGGGTCGGCCTCGGAACGAAATCCTTTTCGGTCCGCCCCAGATGCTCGTAGTCACTTGAGCCAGGGTCGCAAAACACTACCCTATAGGGATCAACATAGCCCCAAAGCCTTATGTAGTGTGGTCTTTGGGCACAAAGCCTTAATGTATGAGTCCTTAGATCCTAGGGGTAGGAATTTGTTGTGATCCCCTTTTCTCCTTTAGCAGAAGTCTACTGCGAAAGGCACCGAGGCCGGGAAGGGGAGTAGGCTTTGGGGGTGAAGCTTAGGGTGTATCCTATAGGAAGGGTCCTGTGGTCATACTGCTGATGGACAAAATGACTCTAAGGACTCTAAACTATGGGAACTATGGTACACTCCTTATAACGGGTACCCTAAACCCCCTATAGATCCCTTAAAGGAGCCCCTTAAAGGTACCCTTATAGATCCCTTTAAAGGAACCCTAGGATGGGTTGATGATATAAACCCTGCATGACCCATAATAAGGAACATACCATGATTCCCAAATATTCCTATTATGGGTAATGCAGGATTTATATCATCAACCGTGGCATTAGGAGATGGGATCAGATACAGACCCTCTCAATAAGGTGCCGTTGAAGAGAGCCAGAAGTTGGGTTAAGAAAGGTCCCCGTTAAGGGGTCCCCCTGATGCTACCTATTACCTAGGAAGCAGCCACCTTAAGGTTACCTGCAGCCTTTGGAAACTCGGCATGGGACCCAAACATGCGCAGGTCAACTCATCCATCCACGCCGGCCAGGGTTTAGGGTTTAATCCTACCATAGTAGCCACAGGAATCACTGAGGCAATTCCACATACGAGCCCGATGCCACAAAACACAAGAATGCCTGATTATTGCCCCGGAATGCAGGAATCCAGCGGAAACATGACGTTCAGCTCCTCTTTTTGTACTCAAAAACGCAGCTTGACACAAAATCTCGAGTCCAGTGAAGCAATATAAACCTTTCTTGCGAAGCCCAGCTCTGCATCTACAAACAATACGAGTGCGTAGCTTACATAGCGCAAGTTGAAGGCCAAAAACAGAACACAAACTAAACACACAGCTCATCTTCGTGGCTGGGTTTCGAGCTTCCGTATGATCTTCCCAGACAGGCTTGCTGTCGCGACGGGCCAAACGCTACTTGCCGCTGGCCTTCACTCAGTGCTCCTCCTGCGGCAGGCCAGGCACTCATGCAAGGCTTATACCCGTTCCGGAAAAAGTCTTGGGGTTCGCGTTGTGATTTTCGGCCATATGCCTTCGCAATGTTATGTTTTCGGGTTCAGGTAGAGTTTCTGAGTTGAAACTGTAGCACATGATGCGGCCGGAGCCATAAGCTGATAGCGAACCCCAGCAAGTTGGAACATGGACTTAGGACGACTAGTGCTGGGACTTTCCTATACGTTACCTTTACCCTAAGGCTCAAACTAGCCCAAAAGCCTTATATAGTATGGTCTTTGGGCCCAAAAGCCTTAAAAGATGAGTCCTTAGAGCCTAAGGTTAGGGGATGAGGATACTGATGTTCCAACATTCTGGCTTCTACTGCAAGGGTACTGCTGAGCCTTCGGATCTTCGCATCAAGCCTCTGCAAATTGTGGGGTACAGTAAACAGGGCTTTGTAGTTGCTTAACTCAGAGCTGTGTGCTGACTGCCTGCAGGATTAGGATCTTGGCTTGACTTGAAAGTAAGATCCTGATATGAGGCAGGTCTCAATACTTGACGCTTAAAGTGTTTCTTGTTGGCAGCAAGCTAAGCTGGCACAAGACAAGGTTGAAAAGGTTCGAGCACCACGCCCTAAAGCTAACTGGACAATGCTGTGACCGACGCTGGGCTCGTGAAGTCTAGACCAGGATCCACGGAGGCCTTGATAATTACAAGAGGGTCTGGGGGTACTTGTATATAGTAAGGGACCCCAGAATAGTAGTGGCCAGTATCTGGACCACTCGGTCTCGGGGCTTTATGGCATGGTGCCTTGTCTTTGTGGCTTCAGGTACTCACGGACTCTAACCTTCCTTAGTCAAAAGTCTCTTCAGTATTCAGGATCTCCACCGGAACTCAAGAAACCCTAAACCCGAAACCTAGACACAGAACCCTAAACCCTAAACCGAGTCGATACCACAGCAGGCGGCTTTAAAACAGGAAGGCCACTTGCGCTCAGCGAGTGCTTAGGGTTGCTTGCTTGGGGGCGTGATGGCTTACGCCTTTGGGTCCATTGTGGGCTTTGGGTTTCGACATGGAATGAGAGTTGGGCTTGAGAGATTCCGGCGCCGAGAGGCAAAGCTGTCCTCTCACACCAAGCTGCCGAAACCCCCCGAAGCCGAAACTAAACCCAACATCCCTAACCTTAAACTCCCGAACCCTAAACCCTAAACCCAACATCCCTACTCCTAAACCCTAAACCCAACGTCCCTACTCTGCCGAACACGAAATCCCAAACACCTCGCTGTCGCTGCCCCCAGAGAGCAGTCGCCGTGTTGTGATCAGCTCCTATTGGCGACTTTCAAACGGTTCCGGGTTCAGGGCTTAGGGTGAAGGGGGTTCAGAGTTAGAGTTTAGGGCTGAAACCTCGAGTTGCGGGTTTAAGGATCAGGCGCTTTAGGATTTGAAGCGCGATTAGGGTAACCCAAGCACAAAGCCCAAAGTGCTGCAACGATGGACCGATCAAACGGATTTAGTACCCAGGATAGCTCTGAAAACTATGCCCCGAAACGTTTCATCCAGCCTCAAGAAAGACCTGTAGGCTACAGCGCCGCAGAGTCTCTTAACGATGAACCGCTACTCACTGGACACTGCCTGAAGCAAGCCTAAACCCTAGCAGGCTGCATCCAAAAACATCAACCCAACATACCTGAAGGACCAAATGACCCTTAAAAGTAGGACCCTATACCCCCATATATATATATATATATATATATATACACATACACCACGAATCCCCATATGGTATATGAACCTGAAACCCTTTTAGGGTTCATTTGGTCCTTAAGGTAAACCCCCTCATGGAACCCCCAGAGAGCCCAATACCCCTTAACATAGGAATATGGCTCAATTTATATAGGGCTTCATATTATGAGTTAAGCTATATTCCTTAATTAATTAAGCGGTATTAGAATCCCCTAGACCCTAAACCCCATAGATCCCTTAAAGGATCCCTTAAAGGAGCCCTAGCTATATTCCTTAATTAAGGGGTATTGGGCTCTCTGGGCCCTTGCACGAATCCGGAAAGGAACGCTTCCAGGAAGCCTCGGACCACTCCTTCTGGAGTCCCTTAAAGGAGCTTTGATGATCCCTGAGGCTCCATGTGCAGACATGGCATATACTCAGGCCTCAGAGAGGTTCCTATATAGATGGTATTTCTGAAGGCCTAAGTACGCAATTAGTATAATACGAGTCATGCTCCTAAACCCTCAATCATATAAGCAAATACTATATTTTTATCTATAATTAGCATAGCATTTCTTAATGCATTTAAAACAAAAAGTTCTAGTCTTATAAGTACGTGGAGCCTTTGGGGGATAGATTTTTTTAAGGCTCAGCTCATGGTCGGCCCTCGGGCGATCCTTCGCGATCTCGGGAACATTGGTCTCGAACTCCACCTGCTCCCAATCGAAGCAAAACTTAAATCCCTAATGTAGGGCCTTAATATTTAGAATTGGGTTTTGGGGCCCATTATACTCCCCAACAAGTATTGGTAATTATTTAAGCACCTATATTAGACCCCTAAACCCTAAACCCCTTTGGTTCGGGGCTTGAGAACTTTTGGATGTCCAGGTATTATGCTTGAGTGCTTTGGGCTTCAGGGCTTTTAGATTATCCAGTAACCTAAGAATAAACAGGCCTCTCTTTTTGGTATTGGGTAACTTTATAAGGAACCTAGGACTACAAAAAGGGAATAAGGGCACTACTGGGCATCCTAGTTTTAGATTATCGGGCCTCTACTGAGCATGCTCAGGGTTTCAGGTGCAGGGGCCTAGGGCAACGTTTCATGCTTGAGTGCTTCGGGCTTTGGTACTATTGTAGTATCCTTAAGGGGGGGGGGTCCAAGGGGGGTTTATAGCCTAGTGATCCCTAATTCTCCCTAGTACTCCCTAAGGTTCCCTTACAGTCCCCTAAGGATTCCTTATACCCTCCCCCCTTTAAACCACCCTCCCTTAAGGATCCTATAATACTAGGGTTTTGGGACTTTGGCGGTTCAGGGCCCAAGCGTAGGCCAATCCAGCCCTAAACGGCCGAAACCGAAGACTTAAGCCCTTAAAAATTTAATCCTACCCTCAGCTACCACAACTTCATCCTACGGTGCGGAGATGCACTGTGTGTAGCGTTTAGGGCTTGTGTCGGCTCGAACTTTCCCGGCTCTTTCCTCGCCACTTGCTTGGCATGCCGTGTGCGCGGATCCGAGAGAGTGCAATGTGTAGAGTAGAGGAGTTTCGTTTCCTGTTCCTCGAGGGTACGAGCATGTGTTGAGGATATGTTACGACGGTGGTGTCACTTCTAATCGTCTTCTTGCCTAGAAGAGCTTTACCTTACCTTTTCCCGACAAGCTTACTTACCTACGTATTGGCTTATCAGTGGCGCAAAGAACCTATCTGTTTAGGGTTCTTTACTAGGGCTTCCTCATAATATCACAGGCAGATTGTTTGGGCTAAAACCTATAAGCCCTAAATCCTGCACCCTCAATCATAGGTTTGGGGTTACCTCTGCTCCGGAATCTCAAGCCAATGCTGGTCGTGTCCGGCCTTCTCGCTGAGGAAGAGGGGTGGCGTAGCACCCACGACAGTGTCCTGGTTTACGATTCTTGGGCTTGGGTTTAGGGTTGACGGTTTGGGTCATGGTAGAGTTTGAAGCTTGGGGGCTTCAATAAGGGTTCAGGGTTTAGGGGTTTCGGGTTTCAGGTCTTAGGGCGCTCAAGGGCTTGCAGAAAAGCCCCCCTGAAACCGCGAACCCTAAACAGTTTTCTCTCCTTCCCAGCGACGGGCTTCGACTGTGCTGGGAGTTAGGATTAGGGGGACCCTCGGGGATATAGACCCTCTCAATAAGGTCCCTTTTAAGGAGATCCAGAAGTATAGGGTTCGGAAGGGGTACCCTTTAAGGCATGTGTGAAGTCAAAGACTGGAACATCCCTGAATCAAGACTCAAGACTCCCCAATCTAGGAAGCCTGGCATTGGAGGGAACATCAGTAAGCAAGGATTTTATGCCAAACCTATCCACAAAGCAGCTGCAGCTCCAAACATCCCAAAGTGCGGACTATGACGTCTCAATTACAGTCGAAAATAACCCTGAAGGCTGAGTTGCCAACAGCCCATAACCCCCAACCCCCAAAACCCCTAAACCCTAAACTCCTAAACCCTAAACCCCTAAACCCCTAACCCCTAAACCCTTCAACCCCAAAACCGAGCACGGAAGCGAATGGCGCCTTGATGTAGGCCAGAGCATAGGATGGAGAGTACCTGCATAGGGTTTAGGGTTTAGGGGATTCAGGGTCTAGGTGTTGTGGTACATACCGGCTTCCCAGCAAAAGAGCAATGTCTTCCGGTAAGCTCTGGCTGACGAGCTTCACTTAAATTACCATGATGTGGACAACATGCCTTGTTAAGTACATGCATGGCAGCATAATTAATAAGATCCCCTAAACCCATAAAAAACCTGGGCCCAAAACCCAAAAGCCTGAGCGCTAAACCGTGAACCCTAAAGCTTAAACTAAACTAAAGAGCCCTGTGAGTGGGGGAGTTAACGGCTTCGGGACTGCCTGAAGCTGTCCAGGACAAGGCTCGAAAGTGTCGCCCTTCGGTGCTGCGCCCACAGAAAAAGACAGAGTTCATGGCTCCATAAGATACTCTTGTGCAGATCCGATATACAATGTTATAAACAGAACTACGTACTAATACATACTATAGAACTACGTACTAATACATACCATACAGTAACAGTCAATATACAGTAATAGTCAACAGTACTGTAGTATCTTGAATCGCCCCTGGCATCCCTCGCCCTGGTCCGAAGGGCCTTTGTCATGTGAAATGCTCCGGTCAACGTGAACTGAACCAACCTAAACCGTGCAACATTCAACCCGAGACGAGTATAATATACGATATAACATACAACAAATTCCTAGTACAGACGAACTAGAGTTTGGGGTTTGGGCTTTTCGGGACTAGGCACCGACTGGTGCTCAGGTTCACGAAGTCACGGGATCAAGACTTGGGGTAAGCCCCACATCCCTCATAGGTGCGATGCTCGCTAACACAGGGTGTTGGGGAGAGATTTACTGACCTGCTGTAATAGCCGCAGACCCCAATCCCACTGTCTGGGGGGTGCCTGATCCAGTACGAGGACTTTGGAGGGCACCACCACAACGACAGCCTTGGCTTTCAAATCGGTTCGATGTAGGATTCTTGGTGACGAGATGTATGTTTGTCTGTTTACAGCCCATTGGAGACAACCAACTTACGCACAAGCAGCTAGAACCGCATGCCCCTCGCAAAGGGGGCTTCGCGTGATTCATGTACACGGTGAAAAGTTGGTTGTTATAGGCTGCAGAGCAGGATTCAAATTTGTTGGCTTACTGTTTTATGCCTCGCAAGCCCAGATACCATCCTCGACCCTCAACCCTAAACTTGAAACTCCTATCTACAACCCCTAAACCTTAAATCCCAAACCAAGTTCTAAGGTCAAAAAATAAAGTAAAATTCTATAGGTCCGGCGCCGGCAGAGCTGCAAGTTCAGAGCCAGAGCCTTCAAGTGAAAACTATAACGGGTTTCCTACGTTAACCTACATAGCTTGGTAGGTTCTTATTATGAACCGGAATAAGGAATCTATAAGGGACCCTACAACAAGTAAGTTTTGGCAAGTTAAACCCTACCTAGACCCCAACAGTATGCAGAATGATAGCCTTTTATAGGTGTTGGGCTATGATTTTACCTACTTGGGGTTTAGGTAAGCCTCAAGCCCTACCCCATATAAACCATAGAAGTGGATTTCTCCAAAGCTCAAGTCATCAGCTTCCAGATCGGGATGAACGCAGGTGGGGTAATCTGAGATCAAGGTCCTTATGCAAGGGGATCCTACACCCTTTGAAGCCCCCTGAACAACAAAAAATCCCGGACACCTGGCCGCAAAAAAAAGTCCCTGCCCACAAGCCCAAAGGCTCCATGTACCTTTATAGTAGATGCTTAGGCCTCAAAGGGGTCCCTATATAGGTACTTTAATTCAAGGCCTAAGTATACACTATATGGGTACATGGAGCCTTAGGGAAGGTGCCCAGACTCCACGCCCAAAGGCCAAAACCTGTGAGCCCCAATCCGAAAGCCTGGCAGCCTGTTCCCCGCATCCTAGACTGCGACTCAGGCTTATAGGGTTATAGGATTATAGTACCCTAAGGCTCCAAAGTAGTTCCTTTATGGGATTCATATTTAGAATCCTATAAGGTAATCCCAAAAAGGAACTACTATGGAGCCTCTGGGTAAACCCCAAACAGTTGGAAACAGGTTTAAGGACGATTAGTGCTGGGATTCCCTATACATTGCTCTTATGGATTGAGCCTATTGGGTTGCCAACTGTTGGGTTTCTGCCATAAGGCTTCAGGGTCTCGTGTGACACTAGGGTTAAGGTTTAGGGTTTAGGGTTCGGCGTCTATAGGGCTTAGGGTTCAGGCCGTTCGTGCAACCTGGAAGCACGCAGTAGCCGCACACGCCAGCGAACGCAAAGGTACGAAGAGACACGCATTGCGCCTTGAACCTCCGAAATCAGCGATTCAGGCTTGAGGTTAACAGAATAATGGCAGCAACAATGCAGAGGTTCCTTGGCGCATAACTACTCCCAGACTCGGGAGACAAAACACGATGATTCCAGAAATCTAATCAACGACCGGAAACCCTAAACCCTCAACGCTAATTCCTGAACCCCTAAATCCTAATCAATCCCTAAACCCTAACACCAGGATGTCAGTGTGTGTGTGAGCTTCTGTGAGTGGGAGCAGAGTCTGGCGAATCTGTCCAAAGGCTCCATGTACCATTATGGCAGAGACTTAAGTCCTAAAGGGGTCCCTATATAGGTACTTTAAGGCCTAAGTATGTACTATATGGGCACATGGAGCTTTAGGGTGTCAGACTCTGCCTGCTCTTAAACTCCAAGAAAAAAATGATGGCTACTTTTGGGGTTTAAGTTTAGGTTTAAGGCTTGGTTTAGGTTTAGGGTTAGGGTTTAGGGCTTGGGGCATGAGGGGTTTAGGGTCTGGAGTTGCTGATTTGATAAGCCTTAAAAATGTGCACACTTTCAGCAAAAGTGTACAGTGAAATTATTCATTCAGCTGACAGACCAAGGCTACCTATAGTACCTTTAACAGTCTTGCCTACTTCGGTCCTTCTCTGGTCTTTGGCTTGTGGTAGGGTTGGAGAAACTTTCGTGGCTTTGCAGGCTCGCATGGTATCTAAGCCCCGCAGCCCCAATCCAAAGGACTGTGGTCCAATCCCGCATCAAAGTCCTAGACTTGCCAACTCAACAACGCCTTGGCCCCGTAAATCCCAAACAGTAAGCCCGACAGTGAACCTCTATCCTGAAAAGTCCACAGCTTAGACCCTGCAACGACCACGAACACATCGAAACAATAAGCACACAAGCATCAACAAACAACTGAAATCCCCGTCAGCAAAAACCGCGAAAACCCCTGAACCCTAAACCACCAAAACGGAACTAAACAACTTCAAACTCCCTACAAACCCTAAAGAATCAACAGCTTAAACCTTTGAAGCATCCCCACGAACCCTAAAGAGTCAACAGCTACAATCTTCAAAAAAAATCCCCACAAAACCCCAAAGCCAAGACACTCCGGGTAGGACATCGCCGGCTTAGTGAAGAAGCTCATGGCCAACCTCGGCTTTCAGCGAAACCCAGGGGCCCAGAGCCTCCAAAACCCCTTAATTAAGGAATATACCTTAAATCATATTAGGGATCCTACTATAATTTAAGGTATATATACCTTAAATTATAGTAGGATCCCTAATATGATTTAAGGTTTTTTCCTTAATTAAGGGGTTTTGGAGGCCCTGCGGGTTTCTTACTGTTGATGATATAAAGCGGGGTTCCATAAAAGGGATCTATAAGGGTGGTTCCTTTAAGGGATGTATAGGGTTTTAGGGTTTAGGGTTTAGGGTGATGATATAAGGGTTTCGATAAGGGCTACGCAAGGGGTTTAGTACAATTAGGGGACTTAATAATTAGAATTGGGTTCCTGTACCTGGGTCCCTTAAGGGTTTCTGTAAGGATCCTGCACTACCTTAAGGACCCTAAACCATGGGAATAATGGTATATTCCTCATTATGGGTAATGCAGGATTTATATCATCAACCGTATGGGTGGTTGTCAATATCAGGGTCCCTTTTTGGGTCATTAGTATAATACGGCACCTGGTCTTTAGGGTGCCCAAAAAGGCCCCATAGTTTTGACAACCACCCATAGAGGGAATGGGCTTCCTTCAAAGGGATCCGGTTAAAGGGGGCTACTATCGGGGTGTAGTATAATTGGGAATTAACAATTAGAATAGGGTCCCTGTAGCTGGGTCTAATTATTAAGGGTTACTGTAACGATTCTATAAGCGGGTACTATGATGTAGGGGCCTTAATAATTAGACCAGGGTTTTGGGACCCCTTATACATTAATCTTTAATAAGGGTCCTAAACTCTACTATACCCTAAACCCTAAACCCCAATTCCCTTAATCCTAAACCCTAAACCCTAAATCCCCCAAAGTAGGTAACATAATGGCCCAAGACATATAAACAGCTATTATTCTACATGCCTTTGGGGTCTAGGTAAACCCTAAATCCTAAACGTCATTACACCCCAAGCCCTGGCCTTAGAGTCGGGGTTTGGGCAGATGGGGCGTCGTCTGTGTGAGCTAGCAGCTAGCCTTTGTGTAAGCAAGGCTACTATCATAAGGGACCTATAAGGGTACTATAATATAGGGGGGCCTTAATAAGTAGAGCAGGGTTTGAGTTTTACAGAAGTGCTTCCGCAGAAGGCGTCAAGTACGCACTTAGCCCCTCAAGTCACCACATTAGGAACTCCATTGGGGCTTAAGTACTTGCACACCCCGCATCTTGCACACGAGCCACTTCGCATTTGCTCCAAAGTCCGACATGCCGGGCCCTGCCACACCATCCTGGAATAAGAAGACTGTTTCCGGGCATGCGATTTCGGGTATGCTTTCCGAAAACCCTCGTCCGTCAAGCCAAGGCCTAAACCCAAGGAAGGAAATATACTGCAGTTTTGAGAACAAAGCACGATACACTCGCACGGAACAAAAGGGCCTTGATAATGATGAAAGGGTCTTGCAAGAAACCTTTTCTACACTGGGACTATAAGGAGATACTGCTAAAATACTAGTCCGATTATTGAAGCCTGAATTGTATGCTAAAGTAACGCGGAGCCCTAAACACCAGGTCTCAAGACCTTACAAGTGATTCCGGCACTCTAGCTATTAGACTGAAGCCTCATGTGCCCCTAAACCTACACGAGAGTTGTTCCCATCATGGTCCGTGAGGGTCGCTGTAATAGTCACATCCTTACTGTCCTTACTGTTATATTGACGATGCCAGAGAGCGCCCATGATTTGGACCAGCCCTGACTGACGTGACGAAAGCAGCGAATCCTAGACCCTTTCAGCTCTAAATCCTCAACCTTTAGCCGTGCCAAGTGGCGCCCAAATTTCGCCTTGCCACACGGAACGTGTTGGTCGCTCGGGGCACACGGCGGGCGGCAGCGAGCAGAGACATGGCCTTGTGTAGAGGTTTCACCTACCTACTTTTCGCGTAGGGTCGTACTATAAACGCTGATATGGAATTTATGGGCAGCCCTACAAAAAGCGTAGGTTCCGGTAGGTTAAGGTAAAGGTTAGGATAGGTTGAGACTCGGGTTTGAGAGCCTGGACAGGTGTTTAGGGTTTTGAATGGGAAGATCCTGGATTTAGGATTCGGGGACTTTGAAAAAGTAGGTACCCTAAGGCTCCAAAGTAGTTCCTTTTTGGGGTTCATTTTTAGAATCCTATAAGGTAATCCCTAAAAGGAACTACTATGGAGCCTCTGGGTAGATCGCAAGGTCTATGACGGTTTGTGTTCAGGGTGCGGCGATGAGGCTTCAGAGCTAAGGACAAGGGGACTTGGTAAGAAGGTCTTTCATGGCTTACCTTCGGTTAGTAGGGAATGGAAGAATGGTAGTAACAGTAGTTAGAATTGTACCCCATTCCTCCATTCCCTACTAACCAAAGGTAAGAGGGGAGTCCAGAAAGCACGGACCCGCAAACACCCCGATGCAAGGCCGGCCACAGCGACTAAGGGGTCTTTGGGTGTTTAAGGTTAAGGGATCTAAAGGATCCATTGAGGGCTCCTCTAAAGGTTCCTGAAGGTCTTTGAGAGTTTATGGCTTAAGGGTCTAGGGGCTTAGGGTTTAGGGGCTGACGGGTTTAGGGGATCTAGGGTTTACCAGGACCCCCCAAGGGCCCTTTAATGGAGTCCTTGCGACTTTTGCAGGCAATCTTCCGAACCCAGAAGGGTTGACAAAACCTGGAATCCCTAGCACCCTGCTGCTCTACCCTGACACAACCAGGACCGCATTTCGCCACCATGAGCCATAAAACCACAGACAACCTAAACAGCAATCAGTGTGAACCCCCAGTCTTCTTTGGCTTAAGCTCGGCGCAAGCCACAAACTCTCCAAAGCTTCCACCCCAGAACCCTCTCAGCGCTCTCGACTTTCTGGGTGCTTGCGGGGTTACTTCCCCAAAACCCTCGATAAATCTTTTTTTTCGGCTCAAGCCCTTACCTCGAAGCCTAAACCAGCAAACTGACAACTCGCCCAAGCCGGAGTTCAGGGAACTCCTTGCACAATGATAAATAGCAGGACTCCTACTTACACCCCCCCCCCCACCTGAACAGTAGAGACTCTCCTATCTGAAGCGACTTCCAGTGGTAGGAAGATCGTAAACATATTTACCGTCTGAAGCCAGAACCCTAATTAATGATAACCCCTAAACCCCCAAGTAGCCCTAAAGTCTAAGCCCCCATGTAAGGCTAAACCCTAACCCCAATCCCTGAACTTCCTAGACCCTAACTCTCTTCTCCGATAGCCGGGCGCAAACAAGTTCAAGCTTTCTATCAACGACAAAGAATACAAGGCCACCAAGTTTAAAGTTCTCCCATTGCCTAAGTAAGCTGAAGATGAACCCTGCACCCTAAACTCCCTAAGCCCGAATCCCTTAAGTCTCTTCTCCAACCACCGGGCCCAGCAAAGTCAAACCAAATGCAAGGCTGACAACAAGTTTAAAGTCCTCCAAGTGGCTCAGTTAGCCAAACCTTAAACCATAAACCCCAAACTCTACCTAGACCCCAAAAGCATGTAGAGCAATAGCCTTTTATTGATTTATAGGCGTTGGGCCATTAATTTGACCTACTTCTGAAATTCAGGTAAAACCTCAGCCCCAAGGCCTGAACTTCCTAAACTCCAAGGGTAAAAGGAGGGACCCTTAATGAGGACCCCTAGGTATATACCCTTAATATAGCTATTATATACCCATTATATAGCCCATTATAGGGTAGGGGTCCCCATTAAGGGTCCCTCCTTTCCCCTTTGATAAACCCAACGCATGAAAGTCCCAAGTGGCTTCACAGTCGGCAAAGGAGCAGTGGCCGGGCTTGAGCGAGAGGGCGACTCTTCCAGCCCAAAGAAAGCCGCAGAGGACGGTGCAAGGGTGTAATGTCAACATTATCCTACCAAAACCCATGTTTTTTATAGGTTCTTGCTGTAAATCCGAATAAGGAATGTATAGGGACCCTACAAAAAGTAGGTTTTGGTAGGTTGAGGAAGGGATTAGAGTTTAAGGTTCACGGTTTATAGATTTGGTGGAGAAAGCAAGCCAAAGAGGAAGGTGTAATGTTGGAGTTTCGGGCTAGATGTTTGTGCGTCAGCGCCTTTTTCCGTCCGTCTACAAGGAGTACTGATTTTGCAGGGATGAGGGTCTAGGGCTCAAGGTCTATAGTGTTGCTTTTCTTTTTAAGCGCCCTTTTCGGCAGATCGGAAAAATAGGGCTAAGGTTCAGGGTCTAGTGGCCTTGAACAAAGACCGAATAAGGAGTTCATATTGAGGAACACTGAAGGGATAGGCTGTTTAGGATTCTGGTCGTACGTGGGACTTTGAGGTGGCAGGCTTGGGCCTGAGAGTTGGCTGTCTCGGCTTGCTCAGCTTCACTTTTGCTCGCCACTGCTCTGCTTCCGGACGGGCAGGCCGCTGCTAATTCGCCTGCGGTCAGTGGCGAGGACCCGAACTCGACACCCTACATCTATATGGGAGGTCCCAACACATACCACAATAGGAACATTTTTGGTTTCCTGTTGTTCAGACCTGACATGTGATTTTCTGGATTCGTCTTTTCTGAGGCGCCGGAATCAAACACAACACAGAACTGACAGGTTACCTGCAACCTGGCAAACAGACCAAAGCATAACGTCCATTTTTGCAGCTGATTGAAAGAACCGAACGTTTTGCAGAGTCCTGTAATGTAGCGGCCTTGATGTTATAGTTATAGTACAATATACCCCCAAACCCTATTCTAATCATCAAAGCCTCTACAGCATGTTGGTTGCTAGCCTCCTCTCGGCTGGGCTTTGGAGCCTGGCTTGGTTTGGCTGGGTTTACATGGCTTAATATGAAACAACTAGAATGCGGCTTTGGGGCCCATTCTACCATATGAGGCTCAGGAAGGGAGTGGCTCACAAGATCCCTTGTGCTCGCAGTGCCCTTTCAGCCTGTGAAGTCAGGTGGGGCCGAAGGATCCTGATAGCCTGGTCCGGGTCAAAGCCTGCCAGTGACTCAAAGAGCCTCAGCAGCTCCTCCGCGTGCCCATGCCTCACGAAGGTGAGGAGGCCCCTCGCCTTTTTCTTTCCCGGAAACACCGGGTACCTGTCTCCCCACGGGGTCCAGTCCGCAAGGTCCAGGATACTTAACTTGTACCCCAGCTCAAAAGGCTCCAGCGGCGAAGTTGTAGGCGCCAAGGTCCTTCACCTGCCATAGCTTCGCCGCGTAGGCTAAGGTGATTCCTGCTTGAATCCCCACATCCTGCGGGATGACATCCGGGCATTGCCGGTTCATCGGGGTGACCTTAGCCTGCTTGAGCGTCTCGGTGAGGAATGCAGCCGCACAAACTGCACCTGTGCAACGCTGGGCTGCTCTACTTTTATTTATAGGGCTCACGGCGTAGAGTTTCTATTCTTCTGATGCGGGGTTTAGGTTCAACTTTATGGATATGAGTCCTCAACCTGCGCGCAACACTCTGATTCCGAAGCATGGGTGCGAAACTACATCGCAACCGAAGTCCCGGACCCTTGCGCATTTTAGGATCTGTATAGGGATTTATTATAGGGCCTTTCAAGTTTCAATTTGGGCAAGAGGTTTGGGGTCAGGGTTGCACTTTACGAACGATGGACCCTGAACACACTCGAAGCCGCAAATCCTCAAGTGTGTGCATGGTACAGAGTGCCCATAGCTGAGATAGAAGCCTGAATAAGTTCTCAATATTCTTCCTTTGGGTTCCTTATATAACGCCTATTTTGAATTATAATACATCCCACAGCCCTATGCTCACTATTAGGCCCCTATCTAGATTAAGTCAGCTGGCCTTCTGACTCAGGATTGCCAGGTTTTGGACCCCGGGTGTAAGGTTCAGGGTACATAGTTAAGGTTTAGTGATTAGTGTAGCTTCCTTACGCATAACCCCTACTATGTTCCCTGATCCTTTCCGTATGGGAAAGCACGGCACGCTCGTTTCTGAGGTAGTGTACAGGACAGAGTGGGTCTCCTGAACTGCTGAGCATTAAACCCCCAAACACCCTCATCTTTCACCCTAGACGCTAATGCTTAAGCCCCAAAAACCCCTATTTAAACCCGAAGCTACCCCAAATCCGAAAAACCCTAACAACCTCCACCCTAAACCCCACTGAGGCCAAAAACCACCTTAGGCCCAGAGGCCCCGCAGTAGTTCCCTCTTGTGGTTCATATGTAGAACCCAATATGGCCCAATAAGGGCGGAACGTTTTTTTTTTCCTAAGTCTGGTCCGCCCCGGCTTGCTTTCCTAAGTCTGGTCCACTGGTTGTGGTTGCGAACAGCGGCAACTGCAGTCTTTGCTTCTATTTTGCATCAAGCTATTGGGGAAGTAGAATTTGACGGCTCTGGTTTTGCTTCTGTTTTGCATGAAGCTATTGGGGAACTACAACTTGCGGAGTCTGATTTTGCTTGTGTTTAGCATCAAGCTGTTGGGGAACCACAAGTTGCAGGGTTCGGTTCTCTTTGTGTTTTGCCTGAAGCTATTGGGGAGTTCGCATTTGCAGGGATCGGTGTTGCTTGTGTTTTGCATCAAGCTATTGAGGAACTATAATTCGCAGGCCCTTCTTCTGCTTGTGTTCTGCTTCAAGCTATTAGGGAACTACAATTTGCCGTGTGTTCTTCTGCTTGTGTTTTGCATGAAGCTATTAGGGAACTACAATTTGCCGTGTGTTCTTCTGTTTGTGTTTTGCATCAAGCTAATGGGGAACTACAACTTGCGGGGTCGGCTTTGTTTGTGTTTTGCATCAAGCTATTGGGGAACTACAATTTGCAGAGTCGTTTATTGTTTTTGTTTTCCATCAAGCTAATGGGGAACTAGCATTCGCAGGGTCTGGTTTTGCTTGTGTCTTGCATGAAGCTATTGGAGCACTACAATTTGCAGGGTCGTGTTTCGCGTGTGAA